GGGGGGGGGGGGGGGAGATTGAGCGATCCGACGAAGAGTTTATCGCGTGAGGCAGCTGAGGATGTGAAAAGGGTATGCCGGGAAGGAGATATGAGAACGTGCGAAGGGGGGAAGGGAGGGGAAGGTGGTAATCAGCGTTATCGACGTTAAACCCGTTAACGGGAGGACTCAGGAGGGACGCGGTAATGCGTTTTACCGGCGTTTTACCGGCGTCTCATTAACGAGTCTCCACGGTGCGGTCTCAGTGCAGTGAAACGGGGACTCGCGTCCTGAAACGCGCGGCGGTTCAGAGTGCACTCCGGGGTGCGAAAAACGGACGCGATGCTGCGGCGGGAGTGACTAAACACATCAGGTATATGAAATCCCTCCAATACTAGATCTCAATTGCTCAGAACAATCTATTGATGAAAAACAAATGAGAGAGAGAGAGAGAAGAAGAAGAAGAAGAAGAGAGAGAGAGAGAGAGAGAGAATGATATTAATCGTAAATCGAGCGGCGAAGCAACGCGAAGCGTCGCGGCCGCGAGTGCTACACACGGCTGCTGTCGAAATCGTCGTCGAGGAACGTGGACGAGAACTCGACCTTACTTACTCGGTTACTTCGAGATCTGCGGGATGTTCCGGAATCGCCGACGTTAATTTGAACGACCGATTCCTCGAGTGATTCGCGAAATTGGTCCTTTTCTCAATCAAAATGTAGAGACGTCGGGAGAAGGAGTTTTTCAAATTATCAGCGGTCACGAAAATGAAAGATCGTGTGACTCTCCGATCGAGTGACGAGGCTCGAGTGTCCGTTTGATTTCGCGATGTTACGATTCGCTCCTTCGGTAGAATTTCGAGGTCTAACTACCGAGGTACTTAATGTTGGGCGCAAACCGAAATGACGGCCGCCGTCGTGAAGGTTGAACTTCAGATTCGCCAAATGTTCTGTCACTGCAGTCTAATTGGGTGTTTCCGACACGTTCTCTGTATACCAAAGCCGCGGCGTATGATCGTAGCGATTCGCCGCGAAAATGACGTCTTGTACCGCGACGAGTATCAGGACAATTCGTTTTCGGAAGATCCACAATTCGCTTTCGGAAGGAACGCTGAACTTCGTGACGTGAGTTTCCATTCCGTGGGACATTTTCACAGCCGACGCGTGTTCCCTTGTTTCTAAGTGACGTAGTGACGACACGAGCAAGCCGATTCCCGCGAATGTATATTATCCGTTCTGTAGATTGCAGTTGGATGAATCAAGAGTCGCGGTACGAGACGTCCGTGTTATATCGCGTGTCGACAATTCGAAGATGGAACATTGCGAGAGCCAGGTGTATCGCGCGTACACGCGTGCGCGCGCGTGGTTCAAAATGCGAAATTCTCCGAATTTTCGTAAGAACGTTGAGATTTTCCAAAGCGCGAAAGTTCGCCGGGAACACTTTCGCGCCTTTCGAAACCATTCGAGTGCCACCCGAGTCGAAATTTCAGCTCTACCTCAAGTCTTCGAAGATCTTTCACTGTGCTTCTCTCGATGCTGCAATGGAAAGTTATTTCCGTTTTCTCTACTTGGAGACCCAACGTAGAATTAAAATTTAGGCCCCGGAAGCCTAAATTCCCTGTGTAGGGAAATGGGAACTCATTCCCGCTTTCTCCGCTTAACGTGGAATTTCAAATTTCGACTCGGGATACGCGGTTGCCCGAAATTTTAGTCCTACAATTAAGAGTCTTCGAGTAGAGGAGACGAAAATAATTTCCCGCTTGTAGCATCAAAGAAACACTAATAATGCTCCTTCGATTCTGTAAAGGGAATTTAGATCTTCCCGGGGGTGGGGAGGAAGGAGGAGAATTTTAAATTCTACGACAAGTCTTCAAGTGAGGAAACCGGCAATAATTTCCCCACTTGTAACGCCAAAACAGCACAATGAAAGACCTTTGAACACTGAACGTTGAACCAAGGACTAAAATTCCGACTCGGGTATTTCGCAATTTCACTTCCCGACTTCGTCACGCCCCCCCCCCCCCATTGAGACANACAAGTGGTGTGCGCGAGAGATACCTTCCGCGATTTTCCATCTCACAATTGCCGCGCTGCAAATCTCCGCGAATCAGCACAACGTCGTCGAGCGCGAAGGCGCGCGTAGAAAAATCACGATTTTTACATTAACGATTCCATTAACGTAACGTAACGCACTGTGCGTCCGAAACGGATCACGCGAGTCATACGTCGGCTCCCGATAATGCGATAAGTAATATACGTCGTGCGTAAGTCATTCAATGTAAGCGTTCATTTACGCGCGTGAGAACGGGCGAACGTCTTCTGTATCATCATAAAAAACGACCACCTTGCGAGTCCATCGTTCACGTGTATACTGCGCGATCGTATAATATATAAATACATACATATATATATATATATATATATATATATGTATATGTATATATATATATATATATATCATTGGACATCTGTGAGCTGTCGAGTAATGATACGATAAAAAATTGCGCGAGTAAGTGCAACTTCAGCGTCAGGCTGGAAAAGAGTTAGTAGAGTTACACAACACACGCGAAAGTAATCGAAGTAGCGCGGTTCGGAAAATTTAACCCGGATTACCGCGAGATCGCGCCGAGATCAGCGATTCGGACAAGTTTTTTGAAATCACCGATACCTTTTCTAATCTTATAAATGTCTCACGAGAGAAATAGTCGTCGAGAGGACGAAGCAATAGTGATTCGTGAACAAGAAAAAAAAAAAAGAGAAAGTTTATCGCCCGCTGCTCTTACGAAAGGTTGCGCTTCCAACGGACACGCGCGCGGCCATCCATCTCGTTGTTCGCGGGGTTGAAATTCTTTTTTGGTTTGATGCAAGAAGTTCGACTTGCTGACGCAAAAGGGATCTCCCGTCTTACAGTGACAGGTCGTGATTATCGTTTTATCCGCCGCCGGTTGATCATTCTTTTCATTCCCCCCCGAATTCAGAGTGGCCGACTGCGAGGCACGCAGGACTCTGGCGGTACCGAAAGATCTCTCGGTCCTTTCGACATTTCTGTCTGTTTCACCGAGGATGAGTTCACAACGCGGCCAACGGGATGGGCTTCGTCTGATAAATGTGTTGATTGCTCAATGAGACGATCTCGATAGCGTTTCTAACGTTCGTCGAGGCGACCCAAGCTGAAAACGAAAATCAGCATTCGGGATCCGCCGACGGATCGAGAACGTACCTCGAGGACTTGTCAATTTCTGCACAAACGCGTCTTGATTTCCTTCGTGCGTCGGACAGCCGGCCCAATTTTCACCGGGCGTCGCGCCGAAATCCAGAAGCGGGATTAAATCACCGTAAAACATTAATCACGATTCAAAGTTGGAGTAACGCTCGTCGCCGCGCTGGTCGGCGCTTCATCGGGGATTTATGACGCTCGTGTGCGCCGCTAATGAACCCGACGAATGCACCGGTGTGAATGAAATATTTACGTGTTCCGGCTGTATCGACGCGATCAAATTTTCGCTCTGCGACGACACGTTTATCAGGTAAATAGCCATCGCCGCGTGCGTGTGCGTGCGTGTGTGTGTGTGGTTAAAAGAAGCTATTCTCTCGAATAAATCTCGCTGATGACGCGCCTCTCGCGCGCGTCATCGATCGGTCGCGAGCGAGCGAGCGAGACAGGCAGTTCTCTTCTCTTCGTCCGCCGTCAGCAACTCGTCGCGCGAATCGTGCGTGAAAGGAAGATTTAACGAATCCACGGGATGACTCGTAAGCTCGGGGATTCGGCGGCAGCCTTTCGCGATTCGCTTCTTCCGCGAGGAACAGAAGGATCAAAAGGAACTTTCATTGCTCTCCTATTGTTTGCTCAACCGTATATCGTCGTTTCTTCATTATATAATTGTACGATCGCGACGCGCGGTACGTTCCAGCCGCGAATTATTGACTTTGTACTCGTCTCGTGTAAGTTTAAGTTTTTAACTTACCACCTAAGGCGCGCGATTTTCTAGGGGAATTTGTCGGGGAGGGGGGAGCGATCGGGGCGATGATCGATCGTCGCCGCGATCGATCGCGAGCGTTTCCTCCGCGTTTCCTGTTTCTCGGTACGTTTTAGAGGAATTTTCTTCGGACCGGACTTCAAGGACGTTGAGTCGTCGTCGCGGACCTTTGGCGGACGTGTCCTTGCGTAATTTACCATTCACTCGTGTATTCATTCCTTTTCCTCCATCCCGTGGCGTCATCCCCCCCCGGCTGGAGTACGTGCAGCGAGTTCTCCGCGTGACAAATCGCAACGGCCTCGCGAGACAATTAAACCGAGCGAAGTTTTTCATAACGCGCGATCGCGCAATCAATTCGTATCGGACTGGCCCGGGCTCTCTGCTCGGACTTTAAAGCCCGCTCCGGACGATCTGTAATTCAGCACGGCGGAAATTTGCGAGGAAACGTTTGAATAATAATCAGAATCGCGTCGTACACCTCGATAAATCCCCAGGTGTTTTCTACTCCCCGCGCGACACGTAAAATTGCAAATAGGATTCCACCCCCGAATTCTATCGCGAATTATAGATCGTCTAAGGAGGGGCCAATCGGGAACGGAAGCGCGAATGTAAACGAGCGAGGATTTAACGACTGTTTGAGAACGCCAAACGTCCTCGGGAAACAACATTGCACCGATTTAAATGCAAATTACAAATTCGAAATATTAATGTTTATCTAAAGAAGAGGTCGAAGAGTTCGCTTTCTCAACTTCTCATCCTATCTCTCGTGTTCTTATCTTCTTCTCTAAAATAATAATCATAATAATAATGATGGTGATAAAAGAGACGGAAGAGTTGTAATCTTGAATGACGCTAACATAATCTGGACATGATAAAAGGACGAGAGTTCTCCTGAAAGTTGAGCGCCGAGGGTCCGAGGACTGCCAGTCCGGCCGCGACTCCCTTTTTCCACTTTGACGCATCGAAACTTTCATCGACACTCGGAAAAGGAGAATTCGCCATCGTATTCCACTTGTGTCGCGACTATCGTCGTACAGCCGGGCCCGACTAAATAACGACACCACATGATCGTCGATCGAACCACTTACGAGTGAATGAGAGAGAGAGAGAGAGAGAGAGAAAGAGAGAAAGAGAGACTGTACGTAACATAACTGTATGCAAACGGGATTTAACGGAAGACGTCATTACAAGAGGAACACCAATGAAGAAGTAACAATATGTACACTATGCATAATATATAAGTACCTATAAAAGATGAATAAAAGATGAATAAATCTACATATATACATATGTGAGAGATAGATTAATAAAAAATCTCAAGCCACCGCATCATTGTTATTCACCAACACCGAGAGTGCATTCCCCGCTAAGTATAATCGATAAACCCGTTCGAATAACTTAGGTCGGCCTGTTTTTACAGAGCCGATTATGTACAATAATAGAGGCGGGATATCGGGATAAAGAGGCCGATTTAATTACGTTAAAATAGACATAGGGTCATGACATATGAATATCTCCGGTGGAAGTCGCGCGTGACAGTCAGGACACGTGTGTATGCGCGCGTCCGTGTATACATGTAAGAGAGACGGAAAAGTCATCCATAAAAAATAACAATGTTGCCTCGGCCGCGGATGTAAAATGTGCACCGCGCGCCATTTCCCGTGTCGTGTAAAATAATTTATTCGCGGCACACGGAAATCGCCCGCCGGCTTTACCGAATATAAAAATCGCGCATCGCGCGTGCGTAATGTGTCGTCCGAAGAAATTTCACGGCTCGAAGGTAAACTCATAAAAAAAAAAGATCAATGTGAAGAAGAAAATAATGTCCCTTACAAAATGATAATGGTTAAAATCACGGACGATTAAAACGCGTCTTTTAATCGTCGCCTTTAGCGCGCGCGCAAAACTACGCGTTAATTGGCGCACATTAAAATTCCCGAGCTGCGATTAACCGAGGGGGGGGGGGGGAGGGGANTTCTCTAATTCAACCCTCGGGTCTCCAATTTTTTTTCCTCCCTTCAGCAAGCCGTTTCCCCGTCGTTTTCTCACCGGTAAATGGGATTTTGCTGTTACGACTCGAGAAGCCTACTCAGGTCGACTGTCGACAACGGTGTAACAATTAAACACGCCCGAGCTTTTTCCGGTCCGCGGAAAGTGAAAGTCCGTTTCTTTTCCCGAGCGCTTCCCTCCGTCTTTTTCGATTTTTCAACGTCATTCCGCGGCTGTTCGAGACGTCAGCCGAGACAACATCGCGTTTTCTAAAAAATTTGTGGATATTACCGGAAAAGTGTCTTTTGACATTTTCCCGAGAGGAAGCTACGATATTAATTTACTGTTATTGAAATCGACTCGTTTGTTCGATTAGATGTTCAGAATTTTCTTTTTTCTACAAACGACATCCACAAAAATCCACAAAACGACACGATGTTGTGTCGACTTGTGGCGCTTCGATTTTTCCGACGACGTTCAATCGAGTTCTTGTACAACGTACATCGACTCGTCCCGCGTCCATTGTATCCCCTCCTCATCCACGGCGATGATGTCGTTAGTCTCGGCGGAAGCCTCGTCAGGTTGGCCAAACTTTTCCCGGCTCTTCGACGTTGCTTGCCCTGAAAGGTCACATCGGCATATTTAATCCATCAGGACTCCTCCTCTCTCGCGGAAAAGGTGAAGAGTCGCGTATACGAACGTGCTGTGTCGGTGGGATTTTTTCGTGCGATAATCTAACCCAGTGAATAAACGAACTCTCGTGTATTTTTTCACGCGTTTCCGAAATCCATCGGCATTTTCCGAATTTCGTCGAAACGATGACTCGGACATAATTTCACGCAATCGCGACACTTTCAGGAATAATTCACTCGGGAGCGTTCGATCGATCGATATCGCCTGTATCCGCGTCGCAGAAAGAGTTGCTTATGAACCCATCGAGGCGCCCCGTCGTAAATACGTATGCGAGGGGGAGGGGGGAGGGCGCGTGCGGTCGGAGAGGAGTTTAATCATCTCCTTTGAGATTCGCGACAAAAGGCGAAAGGTGTCGTATATTGCACCGACCTTGACCAAGATCCTGAGCTTTGCCCAGATAGGAATATTCGCGCGCGTTCGCTAAACCTATCACGCAGGCACTGAGACCGCTGCGGCTGAGATTCATGGGAGATGCGTCGTACCATTCGTTGTAGTCCGCGTCGTAACACTCGACGTACGGGACCGTGCTCGATCCTGCGAACACACATTTGCACGTGTAAACACGCACACGTCTGCAGGAATTCAACACCGACCCTAATAAAACCTTTCCTAATCAATAGAATCCCCATCGTGAATCCCTCATCCGTAAATCGTCCAAACGCGAGATGCACGCATATTCAGAGGTTTACTGGGGATTTGTTAAAAGCAAAAAAATATATTCACGACGCGTTTCGATGGTCGAAGTCGGGAGGGAGGGGATGTTACAAGGTGAGGATTTCTTTCAGGAAAATACCGTTGTAACCGCCAATGACAAAAATCATATCGTCGAGGACCGCCGTGGCGAAATTGCTGCGTGGGCTAAACATCTCCGACACTTCGTGCCACTGGTCGGAATGGTTTGGAGTGTAGCGCTCTCCTGAAAAATAAATATATATATATATATATATATTTTTAGAATGGTGCTCTTCAATGCGGAGTGTACTGCTATTTCAAACAGTCGCCATGTAAAATATTTACCGTGCAGTCACACAGGTACAGAGAGAAAGTATCCGTAAAACTGTTGTAACGCGTAAACGATATTGCGTAACTGGCGTAGTTAGAACGAGACAGCCACTTCTACGTCGGTTGGACAAACATTTCGCTATCAAACTCAATTCTGACAAATGCACGAAGTTCCGTGAGACTTCCTTAAGCACGACTCGAATTAATTACTAACGTAAAACACAATGTCATGAGACAATAATATACTTACGAAAACTTGTTGCCAGTCATCAAATATACGCGCATTTGTGCTTAAAATTAGATGTAATTGATATAAATCAATAAGCATTAACGTAAACTAGATTTCCTTCCAGCAATTTCTCCAAATATTGTGTTGTTCGAGAAATTGAGGGTTGCGTAAATTTTCCAAGTAATTGAAAGTATATGTATGTATCGTTTGATAAGAGGCATTTCAACGCGTCACTTAGTAAATGGTTGGTTGAGATCGGTTTAGTCTGTTATTGAACTGCGAAGATTAAAGATAAAAATGAGCTTTCTCGGCATGTGATGTTTTTCTACTGCAGTAAAGAGAGAAATAACGGCTGTGCAAACAACGGGCAAAATTTGTAAAATATATGGAGACGATAATATCGCTTTATCAATCGTTTGGAAGGAGTTCGCTACATTTTGACTTTGAAGATGCAAAGCGCGCTGGAAGACCTTCGGTCGTAGACAATAATCAAATTAAGGAGTTAATAAAATAAAATCGAAAATAAAGCACGATACACGACTCAGGAGGTAGCAAAGATCATAAGTGTTCCGAAAAGTACCATTCATGATTATTTGGTGAAGCTTTGAAACATTCCTCGCTACGATGTTTGAGTTCCACACAATTTGCACGAAACAGGTTGAATGGATCGATTTTTCACTTGCGATCTGCTGTATAAACACAACAAAACTGACCCATGCTTTAAACATATTGTGGCGAGAAAAATAGATTGTTTACGATAACGTCATGCGAAAATGCTCGTGGGACCAAACTGGCGAACCGCCAAAAACAATACCAAAGCCAAATATCCATGCAGAGAAAGTTACACTTTGTGCCTGGAATTATAAAAATATTCTTTATCATGAGCATCTATTAGTACAGAGCCGTACCATAAATTCGGACGTGTACTGCAGCCAATTGGACAATTTGAACCGAAACATTCAACAGAGGCGGGCAGAACTTGCGAATAGAAAGGACGTTTTGTTGCACCAAGCAATGCCAGACCTTACGTCATCGGACTGCCACCTGTTCTGGTCTTTATAAAATTTTTTGAACGGAAAAACATTCGGTCGTTTGCAGGCAAAAAGCCACGTGGATGGCTTCTTTGCCTCCAAATCAGCGAAATTTTTCGGGGACTAAATCATGAAGATTGCTTGAAAGCTGAGTTAAAATAATGCAACAAAATGGTAAATACTTTGTCGAATAAAGTTTCAATTTAATATTCAAAAATTACGTTTCATTTTGATCCAAGAAACTCGTACGAACCTCCCCGATAACCCAATAGAAACATCTTTTTAACATCACTGTATAATATGCTGTCAAAATTACAGTTAGCAAGCATACCGTCAATTAAGTATGTTCTAATGTTAACAAACAAATTCAACAATTTAAGATCGTCATAAGAAAATATCAAAGGCTCTCGACTTCCGATAACGCTCAGAAGAGCTCAGAATATTCAAACAAATAACACCAGGTCGAGTAATTTGTGCAATTCGACTACACTTTCAGGCCTGAGAAGTCCGAACGGCCTTCAGCCGTTCGAAATTGCGAAAAGTAACTGGAGAATTGCCGAAACTAATTTCAAAAAGTTCGCAACAATTCGAACTAACCGGAACTGAGTCTGGCGACGCCGCTGAACCCGCCGAGGGCGTAGAGACTGTCGCGAAACGCGACGAGGGAGACGCCGGATCGCGGGCTGATCATCGCGCGGATGTTGCTCCATTGGCTGGTCTCCACGTCGAAGACCTCGGCCGAGTTGAGGATCTCTTGGCCGTTGAAGCCGCCGGCGATGTAGATCCTGTCGTGGAGCACCGCCGCGCTGGCGTCCGATCGTTGCCGATGCATGGCCGGGATCATCTCCCATTGGTTCTTCTGCGGCTCGTACCGCTCGCCGGAGCTCATTCTCGTGCGACCGTTGAATCCGCCGAGCGCATAAATCTTGCCGCCTGCAACGACCGCCCGGGGACAGAGCGATAAATAAACAATAGCGCCCAGCGAATGGAGCGTGGTAAATAATCTTGGTTAAACGAGCGGCGGGAATGAGTAACCGCGAGTTTCCCGGACAGGAGGAGAAGACGGAGGACGAGGAGAGTGAAGCATCCTTTCTCTCACGTTTAAATAAATCTTCCTGGATTCTTTCGGAGGGAGAGTAGGAAATGACGAATCTTACTATTTTTCCCTTGAAGAGCGCTCTATGGAAAAAGCATTTAACATCTAACATTTGCACAAGTTTGACGACGGTAAGGTGTCTCTTAATTGATAAACGAGAGGGTGGTATTATGGCACCCCTTAATATCTCCGCTTTTAAGTAACGAATTCTAGCAGACGCTTATGGAATCATTTGTTTAACAGCCCGCCGTTAACGCAGCAATTAAGGGGGCTTTGGATAAGTTGATTAAAGGGATAAGTTGGCTAATCGATTATTTCTGTTTTCTATTTTCGAACGGATAGAAACGAGCAAGCAGAGATTTCGAATATGTCGAAGACGGTTAGGAAAACCCCTACCTGCTCGACTCTGTAACCTGTTAGGAAACAACAGAAATAATCAATTAGCCAACTTACTCTTTTAGCCAATTTGCCCTGGCCTCCCCTAATTAGGGGAAAAATATAATTAGGACTAAGAAGGATAATTATATACAGTTTTCTTTTCTTTTCCTTACATACTAAGTTGTAAGTCGACTAATAAAAATATTATTATTACGATCATTGGTAGAAGGTGATATTACGATCGTATTCCTAATTAACAGAAAGCCTCGATGAGCTACTATTAACGGCATAACTTTCGTCTACGTTCTGATATTCCAAAACTCACCGTGAACGCAAACGCTGACGTAACACCTGGCGTGATACATGCAAGCTCGTTCTTGCCATTCTTTCGTCACCGGGTCGAAGCACCGGACCGTGTTGAAGTGCTCGTTACCGTTGTATCCGCCGATCATGTAGATGAGATTGTTCAGGGTGCATAATCCGTGATAAGCCCTTGGCGTTACGTCCGTGCTCACTGATAGAAACCACCTGTCAGCTCTGGAGTTCACGTTTCCATACATTACATAAATCCGGAGGCGTCGATATCTCTCTACCCTACGATCTTCAAAGCTCGAGCAAGGTCGGTGTATATCTCCCGCGACTTGAAAATCACCCCGGTACACGCGCTCGGGCTCTTTTGACTCTTTACGACCTCATCCACGCCGTTTTAATATTCCCGACCTCACTTTAGTGACAGATCTTCGCTTGATTTATGAAAAATGCACTCCCCTCTTCGGGACGCTACTTAATATTTCATGAAAAATATCCCCGAGTAGCGATATTTACCAAGATCGCTTCAAGATTACATCAAGCGAAATAATGAGCAAACTTGTAACTAATACGCGTCATAGGTATCTTCCTTCTAAGAGAACCATGAACTCCCGTCACAAAATCTGTCACCCTATCTCCCTCTGTGCAAAATATTTACGTATCTGTTTTTCTCTCGCGTTTCTTTTTATTTATTTTTTTTTCAACGCTAAACCTAAACTCCCTTTCTCTCACTCCCCATCGCTGCGTACGTACGCGCGGCGATACTTTCATACGGTCTTAAATTTCAATTTCTATGGAAATCTCCGTTACGCGATATGACTTTGCCGCTTAGGCGCACCTCGTGTCGTAAGTCTCCACAAAATTGGTCGGCGAACCTGTGCTCCATCCGCCAATCGCGAAGAGAATTTCGTAGGGTACGCGCGGCCTCGTGAGGGAATTCCTCAGATCGATCTCCCCGCCGTTCTGCTTCGAGTCCCGCTCGGTTAAATAAGCATTCACCGGCAACAGTATTTTCTGGCAGGCCTTGGGACACACATTCGGATAGATTCGACGTTATTGTAAAATCGTCCTTCACCACGAGGACGGGGTAACGAAAGCGTTACGTACGTGAGGCGCTTATCGTTAACGTCATATTTACGTTTCGTTGGATCGCCTTGAGACGTACGTATAATATGCGCACTACGCTTAGGCTCATTGTTATGCAAGCCGGAGCGAAGCCGGAGCGAAGCGCGACGGTCAACAGGAGTGACGAAGGTGCGTGCTTACTTCATCCCCATCGACGAGCTTCCAGCCGGCGATGTTATTAACGAAATACTTATGAGTCATGAGGCCATAACGTATGCATCCCAGCAACCTGGGCAGATAGGGCCGTCTCTCCTCCAGCCGGCTCTCGACCCACGTCCTGACAGCGTCGAACACGATCTCCTCATTTTTAACGTTGAGCTCGTCGTGGCTTAATATCGCCTCCAGCTCGTCGCAAAGAAGATCCTTGAACTCCCCGCTCTCCCGCATTATCCGCTTGAAGTGGTGATGCACGTACTTCCGGCCTTGCTTCTCGAGATCGCGGCAGAAGTAGTGGCGTGCGAATTTCAAGATACCTGCGGCCAACGCGACCAAGTGCGAATTGCATCCGAGAGAAATGCGAATGAGTTGAGTCTTGAGAAGGTTTTCCAAGATCGAACGTTATAAAAAGGTGGCGATGATCTCGAGGATTAGAGAAATTCAACCCCTTCGAGTTCTATCGTCACACGAGACCAAAGTTACGGTGAAAGTTTCGAGTTAATTTCGGCACAGCGTTTAAAACACGTGACTTGTGATTTAATCGCGAAATGTACGTCCTTTGGCAATGAAGAAGAAAGTTAAACGATTAAATTAAGGATAGTTAAGATCTCTCGTGTTTCTTGCTTCGGCGTTTCGTGATTTTTCCGACTCACCTAAGCAATTGTCCGGTCGCAGCTCTTGCAGCAAAAACTGACAGCAGAGCTGAACGATCCCGAGCACCTCGAATTGATCGGCGAGCGGTAATAGTTGCTCGACATTGTCGGCATTCACGTTACAGGTGCCGGTGTAGGCGTAATCGAGGATCAGGCTGAAGAGCTCGCCGCGAACGAAATTGATGGCGACCTCCGTGGTCTCGGTCTTGCCGCCTTTCAGACTGTAGGTGAAAAGGGCCTTGAAGTACGGGCTCACCGCGGATAATATGACGCGATGAACCGGGAAAACTTGATCCCCCGCGCATCTTATAGCACCGTCGCACAGCTGCTGATTAGCCCTGAAACCGGCGGCCCTGGTTATCATTCTAAAACCGCTGCACATTTCTTAATTAACGACTTGTACTACCACGTAAAATCACCGTACCAAAAGGTGCGAAGGGCGAGCCTTGATATTTCGGAAACATTGCAAAATCGAAATTCCACGATTTAATGTTACTGCAAAACTCCGCGCTTTTTTTTCCCGTGCAGAGAAGCACGAAGAATATATTTCGGTGTAAAACCTAGTTGATTTGTTTATTTTTAATATATTTGAAACTTGGTTAAAACCTTCGCGTTGGCATTACGCCCCGAGCTCTCCGAAATTGAATCGATAATGTAACGACGCGGGAAACCGTTGAGCAACTTTTTCATCCGCGTTGCCGGCGCAACGCGATACTACGCGTAGTTCGCATTCAACGCGAGCGCCGTGCACGGTTCGGCGGTACAACAGTTCGCACTCCCGCGATAAGGAGATTTCGAAATGTCCGCATAAAATAATACAGCGGGGGAATCAATATGCGCCGCCGACTCTCGCGTCGGGCAAACGCACAGATCGATTCGCACAAGAGTTATATAAATAAAAATATGTTTCTCAAGTAATTTTCATTCGCTTTACCATTTCGTTATAGAAATGTATTTAAATGTAATTAAAAACCTCTTATTTAATTGTAATATAAATATTTAAGCGTGCTAAAATATTTATATAGCAAATTTAAATCAAACAATTAAAATAAAATTTGCATGGGAAATATTTATTTCTACGCAATAAGTGAAAATAATAAAGGAAAGATCGTCACGACGCAGCTTGCGCCGCTTCGTTATGCGGCGCCGCTTGCTAGCTACTAAGCTTGAAACTTCAAACGCTAAAAACTACTACTTAGAACGCGCGTTGGACGAAACGCCCCGGGTATGAGCGGGTCGGTTAATTTTTTATGCAGATTCACCACGTCCGAGGAGATTAAAATCGGCGAAACACTGTCCTCTCTTTGTGAATCGTGCATGACGTTTGCGCTGAGCAGTGCGCACTCTTCTTAATTAACGATCTGTACATTTCGCATTACATGTGTTAAAACGAGGAATGGAAACGGAAATGTAGAATTAACGTACCATCTTGAAAAACAAATTAAATATAAAACGAGACACAGCATGCGGCGCCAATAATTTAGTCTGATAAAAGAGAAGAGAGAAGGAGAGATTCGCGCAATTTATCAAAGCAAAAATGAAAATACGAATTTCGTATTTTACGCTAGAAAAAGAGAGAAAGAGAGAGAGAGAGAGAGAGAGAGAGATACACCGTAATATGTCAAATCGTTCAAACGACCGGACCGACTCTTTCCTCCTCTTCGATGTTATTTGACACTTTAAATGCATAAAGTAACAGAGAGAGAGAAAAAGTACGGAAAAGCTGCATCCTGAATCCCCAAGAACGGACGCTTGCCTCACGCTATATCTCACAAGCTCGCGCGCGCGATATTATCTGAAAGCTACACACTGTCCGCCACGAGAGAACTAACGATCCTCATCGCGTGTAACAAGGCCTTAATAACGTGAGCGCGCGATTACGGACCTGAGTTCGGACCAGACCACAGGGAACTTCACGAGGGCGTAATTAGACGGCAGACACATGCATTTCCTGATTCTCGCCGACTGCTTCCGCTTCGGAGTCTGCCTGTGGAGTCTGCCGACGGCGGAAGTGGCGGCGCGTGACACTCGGCAGCGGCACGACTTCCTGAAGTTCATCCTGCCAATGTGGGCTTCGTCACGGTGGCGAATGGAGCCACGTGCGACCGGTGCCTCGCCGAACGATCGCCACATGCCCCGGGCTTACCACCGCCTCCTCTTCTGCTTCTGTCGAACAGCCCTCTTCAGCGGAGCTCTTTCCTTCTTGCGTTTGCTCCCTCGGCAGACACGAGTAGCGCGGAAACGCGCGTGCATGACAGACGAGAGCTGCGAAACCGGCCGGGCCTCTCGATCTCTCGAGATCATAGCGTCGATTCGTCCACTCAATGCGCGCTTATATTCGTGATAATCGGCAGATTACATACTCGGGAGACCGCACTGAATTCAATAGAAGTACCGGGAGAGGTATTTGAGACGTATTGCCCATAATTCGAAGCAATGGCATTGTGAAGATATTTGATTGACCTACATTACATTTCTGAAAGTAACGCCGAAAGTTGAGCAATAATTCCGAGCTCGGATCAAAAGTTATTACACTTTGAAGGAGGTTATAAGGTGAAATGAGCCTGATAAGAATTCAATGAAACTTCCACTGCATATACATTAAAGTATTATGTAACTCGTTACTCGTGCAATTAATAAAGGTTGGCCATCCGAGAGCTGGAATATTCGTAACTGAAGTCGACGCTTTTTATACGTGTTTACTTGAGAGATTCACGTATTACTTTTAATTTCTACATTTAATACTTTATAAACTAAAAAAATAATATTTTAATGAAAATCTACTGTGATATTAAAGACTAATATACACAAATTTCGAAATTATTGACCATCTTGTTTTGAAAATACAGCGCTGTAAAATTCATAATTTACAGTAATATTCGAAATATATATACATATGCATATATTTAAACATTTAAACGTATCTTTCTATTACCTGCGCATATCCATTGAATCAACCGATGCACGAAAATAGTATTAATAAGAAAAATAAAAAATAATAATATTTCTGAAACTAAACGAGATATGAAATTCTTGTTTTTCAGCGACTTTATTTAGAAAAAAATTAACTTCATCACACAATGCCCATTTCAATATCAGTTATTGGCAAATAAGAATTTCATATTTCATTTCAGAAATATCAGTCTTTAACGATTCACCCTGTGTACGTCTATCTCAACTTCGCTTCAAATTAATATTTATTATTTGATGAAGTGAATTTACAGGAACGTAATTTTGGTTGATATATAAGGAAAAGTTCCCGAATTCCGGATGGTGTCCTAACTCAGGATAAGTGCTTTTCTTGGCTCTTAAGGTCGTTCTACATCAGTCGCAAGTACCATTCACGCTTCTAGATTGGTTGAGCGTTACGATCGACTCGTGACTAATGTAGATCGACCTTAGGAGCCAAGAAAAACACCTACCTGGAGTTAGGGAACCATCCGGAATTCAAGCACTTTCCCCTGTTAACTTTGTGAGCGGCCCTCCTTGATGTGTTACTGAAAATACGGCGCTAATAGGTAAAATACACCCTTAATACTTCGAGAGTGTCCAAGTGATAATGTGTTCAATGGAACAATCCCTCAATTATTTCGGGTTTTATAATTATACATTATTAAGAAATATACGATACAACTGTGTCTATTCCGAGCGCAAATACTTGCACACTCATTACATTTGCGAAACGCACAAATTATCATCACTTATGAAGCAAACACAGGCCTTCGTAGATGTCGAAGATCGCGAAAATCACGGTCGGTTTTAACATTCCTCGGGCAGCGCGTTATTTTACACACGTGACACTAACAGCGTTCAAAAGTTTAAATGGACGCTATTTTGCAAGAACCCGTGCCGACATCGCCGCTTCCGAGTATCTCGCCAAGAGGAACCGTTTTATCAGAATTTCTTGCGAAGCGCAAAACACTTCGCCACGCTTGACTGCTCCCAATAACATCGTCTCTCGTGCGTAAAATATTTCTAACCCATTTACGACCTCACTGCAAATGAAGAATCAAGTAATCTAAAAATAAACCTTAATCCTTGTAAGATAGCAGACGAGCTTCTTTAAGAAGCGATGGATATTTTCTATCCGCTGGCCCGTGAAAAAGAATCGACGGAAAATTACGGGTGTCCCGAAAGGGAGTAAAAAGTTTCGAGTAGATTTTCAATGTCGCTTCGCGAAAGACGTTTCTTTGTGAGCGTCGGGTCATTTGGCTGATAATATGTCCCGTTCAACGAGAGAGAAAGGCACAAGGCGAAAACGCGCACAAACACGATTACAGAGCAAGATACCAGAAGAAGATCCGCCGAAAGTAGACCGGACGTCTGCAATGTATCGATTACGGGAAATGAGATTCTGTTCTTTTCTCGCTAGACGGACGCAGCATCTCCGTCTTCCTCTGACGTACGAATCAACGAAAAGCTTCTCTTCGGAAGGTAGCTTCGTGTCTCGCAAATTTGCCTTGTTCTTGCCGCGTGACAATCACGTTTCCTTCTGACCTCCAACCGTCCTCAAGAGACGTGTTATTTCATCATTGCTTCTTTTCTGTGATACTTATTAGCTGTCACGACGCAAATCGCCGGCTCGATCGTTACATTTCCACTCATCGTACATCTCTTTATCCCTTTTATCACCACCGATCAATTATTCAACCGAATCGGACTTTATTCGCGCACGCACGCTCGTAAAACCAACAGTCCTCTCGCTGGAAAGTTCTTTCCAACCTCGCACGGCAACGGGGCTCTTTTGCATAATGAAGAACGGTATCGCCGAACGATACTTCCGAGCTCCCCCCGGGAAACCCTTTTGAATTGAATCGGTAATGTAATGATGCGGGGAACCGTTAAGCAACTTTTTCATCCGCCGTATTGCCGCGACGGGACTCGTGCTAAACGCAAACGCGCGATTCAGTAACGCGTTCTCGCGCGCGTTCGCACCGATAAGGAGATCCGATCGTCCACGTTACAATCAGAGACCGGACCGAAACCGAAAACTGTATGGAAATCGGTATTTTGTCAGACCGGAACCGTAAACCGTACCAAAATTTTATAAAGCCTACAGAAATATAAAATAGTTTCAGAAATAGAAAATAAACTCCAAGAATACGATATTGAACAGAAGAGGATTAATAGAAGTAATATATTATAATTTTTTGATCAATAGAAAGACAATCATGCTGAATTATACAAATTACTCTACTAACAGAACGTGTATTTGTATTGTACGTATATATGTATTTTCTGAGAAACCTCGGAGAATATCGAAATATTCTTCAAATATTCCCAAAATTTATATAATTTACATGTTCCCTTATAAAGAAGTTACAAATAACGAGGATAATATTATATATCCAATAAAGTTAAGAGCAGAAAATATAAATAGTGAAGAAACGCCGTCTTCATCGAGGAAATAATATTATTATTTTTTATAATATATTATTGTACATGTTATACATATAAAATTTAAGTCAATAAAAATTTCACTAAGGAAACATGTTTAAAGAACCGGAACCAAAATGAACCGTAATTTAAACAGTTTACCGGTACTTTAATTATCCAGAAAACCGAAACCGGAGCCTTTATTAAATAATTTAGTGGACCGGATCCGGAATCGAGCCGATATTTTCATTCGGTCCCTGGTTACAATAATACAGCCGGGGATCGACGCGCGCCAACTATCGCGTCGGTGGTCAAACGCAGGGACAAATTTGCACGAGAATTAACTCGCGTTGTTTGTAATCAGTTTATTAGTAATGCACGGGGGTAATCCCCGCGTGCAAACACGAAACGCGCGAGATTCGGCGGCTCGCGATTCTCACGGATGCGCGCGCGAAAGCTTCTAACAAATGTCGCCTTTCATTTTAGAACTGTGAGATATCCGCGCATCACCGAACACGTTCGGATTCGCGTTACGCATATATGCATGTCCACGACCGAACGCGACGCACTGTGTTGTTGCATATTACGCTCCCCGTCGTCCGTGATGATCGCAAATGCGGATAATTTATGCGTTCCAATTACTGACGGAAGTATTAACCGCGAATCCAGTGTGCAACTGCGCGCCCGTTAACGTATTTTCTGCGAGGCGTAAAATTTCCAATGAAATCAATCTCCTGGCGAACGGTGGGATCCCTCTCGGTGATGAAGTTGTGTTTAAAATACACGAATAGACCCTGCGCGGAAAAACAGAAATAATTTCGCTCATATTTAGAGGGTGTCGGTCGTCGGTGGGATTTTCGGGGATGTAAATCCTAAATTCGCTGAAGGGACTTGAATGTCGAAGCGGGGCCGGCGGTATTAAAGAGGAGATGGCATCGAAGGGAACTTCTTCGAGTAACTTTTCGTGGGGACGACAGTCAGATCCTGATACCATAATGACAACGATCCTGGTCGGTTGTTTATATCGACCGGAATTTCTCAACGTCAGGGCCACGAACGGGCTTGGAGAACGTGCGAAAAACTCCTGCCGACGTATATACGATGGACGGCCGACCACCGAAAACACATTCTGTAACGAGCAACGGGGCCACCGTCGATGTCCTGGAAACGCCGGCCGAAACTTCAAATCGTGTTTACCCGCGAGAATGGAAATGAGCGGCTGGAATGCGCGCGGCATCGAGCTGATAAAAAGAACGAAATCGCCCGTCTCGCGCGCCAACCGAGACGGAACGGTGGCTGGATTGTTTTTCGACGAATCGTAAAATATTTAAGGGGATATTGCGAATGTGTCAGTGCTGATACGTGCGCCCTCGACGTCTCCTTAAATATTACATACCGTTAAAAATGGCATACAGGTTCCTTCGCATGGGGAGGAAATCTGGTTGCATCAAGCGAAAGGAGAACCAGCCAGATACATTTCGGCTGAAGGAAACAGAATTTCGGGTTTTATGAAAACCACATCTGACTTAAAAAGACCGGAAATTCTGTTCCCTTCAACCAGAACGGCATCTGATTGTTCCCTTTCTGGTTACTGCAGCCGGACTATTTTCCCCGCGCAAAATTACAGACAACTCTGTGACGGGAGGGGGGGGTGAATAAGACTCGCAAATGCAAGCGATAAA